GCTCTGGCTCTTGAAATGTTATGACCACAGGATGGGGTGGTGTTTTTATCCTGAGTGCTTCCTACAGCCCCCTTTTCTCTGTTTATATGTTGTCTATCTTCGGTACCATTCCGCCCCCCGGCACATCGCCTCTTACCCAGGTTTGGTACTTGCCGTCTGTCAGCCAGGTCTGGATCCTGGTATTGCTGGGTTCTGCTGGGCTCCGGTCTTCACTGCAGACTTCCTCTGTCCATGCCAACCCTGTAAGTAAATCTTTGGGCCCTCTCTGGCCCTGTGCTCTCATGGAAACCCCTTCCTGTGGTAACCACCAGGTCCCCTCACTGGGACTGCCTGTCGGCTCTGGCCCCTCCATGCTGGTTGGGGACTCCAGTTCTGGTCCCTCCCACTTGTCTTCTGCTGGGTCTTTTATCCCAGACCCGGGGGTCTGGCCAACCAATCAGTCCCAGCAATATAAAGCATGCCCACACCAACGAGGGATCCAGTCCCAGATCCTTTGGGCTTGGCCACTTTTTTCCTTTTTATTTTTACCCGCGGTGGCTCCGCCCACTGCGGTTTCACTTTCGCCACGTTTATTTTCCGGCACAGTGTCCCACCGCCTCCATCCCTCATCTGGTAAGTCTTTTCCACAGTCTAATAAAAGATATCACCTCTGTCCACAAGCCCTGATTGCTAAATTGGGTGCATTTCCAGGGGCTGCTATGGATACTGACTGAGCCCTTTTGGCAACAACTGATGGAGCAATCACATGTCAGCCTCTACTAAACAGAGTATCTGACAAAATGGAGGGAAAATTACACACCAAAATGGACTATTATGCTTCTTGAAGGTGAAGTTAACTTTTTAAAACCTTAATCTCATTTATTTTCACACAGCTAATGCCACCTGCTGGAAACAAAGATAAATTATTTTACAGTTCAGAAGACACAAAATACACCAGACCAGACCAGACTGCACAATTCCTGCAGTCAATCTCTGCACTGAATTGTTTTGATTGTAAGAGCATCCACTAGGCACTTTCCAAACACGTGCCAGGACAAAGACCCACATGCTGAGCAGACTGATGATACAAATCTGTATTATTGGGTTCTGTTGATGTAGAAAGACACCAAGGCTGAAATTTTCAAAGATGCCAGTGAAATAAAGTACCTAGCTCCTCTGAACTTTCTGCTAGAATTGGGTTTCCAGTTTTCTTATGGTTCTTTGAGAACTCCATCTTGGAGGAGGGACAGAGTGGGGATGATGAAGCAGGTAGACTTGAGGAAGCAAAGCAATAGGGGAAGAGAAATGAGGGGGAGGATTTGGGGCTGACCTGTCACAGCTGGGCTGCCAAAGGGTATCAGTAAATCTCTCTCCCATCAAGAGGAAATAAATGTTGGCAATTGGCCTGTTGTCTCCTCTAGGGTGACCACCCCTCCTTAATTGGGAAGGACCGTCCTGGAATAGGAACATCAAGTCTCATAATTAGCAGGTGTTCTAATGTGCCCATAATATGTTTCCTTTCTTTTTAAAAAAAATTATATGGACAACAAAGATAAAATTGCAAATCCAGTCTCTGCTACAGAATTTCTGTCATTTGGAATACTGCAAAAACGTGATTTATTTTTTACCACTATATAAATATTGGATGTTGCAAGATCCCGAGCTGCATGACTTCAGGACAGCATTTGTCCCGGATCTGCAATACCATGCTCCCTGATGCTGTGTGCACTCCTAGGGAAGGGGATGGGGGGCACATGCCCCCCCCCCCCCCATTTGTGCACAGGACAGGGGTAGATGCAGACTGGCTGCTGAGGCTCAGGGCTCCCCACCCTGCTGCCCTCACCCCAGGAGCTCTCCAGTGGCTGCACCACCATGGTGAGTTGTCCCCTACCCGTGCAGCAGAGGCAGCGGCAGCATCAAGTTGTGCTACCAGCTGCTGCCAGGCAGGCAGGCAGGACAGGTGGCAGGCATGGGGCTCCTGCGAGAAAGGCAGGGAGCCCTGAGCCCACATCTGCTTGCACCCCCGCTCAGCTCTGCTCCAGCCGTGCCACCAGCAGCTGGGAGGTGGGGCAGGCATGCATCCCGCCTTTCCATTTTGCAGAAGTGGTCACCCTAGTCTCCTCCCTCCTGTCTACCCACCTTCACCCCTGTAACAGGGAACCCTAGCCCTGTTACCAGGAAGCAAGGCAGCTCTTTTAAATCCAGAACTTTCCAGGCATAGTTGTCCGGTTGAGCAGGGGTTAAGGATTAAGCCCTGCTGGCTGGTCAGGTGACCAGAAGGGAAAGGCCAGAACCATATAAACCTCAGGCGGAGAAGGCCAGGGGAGGTGGCAGAGAGGAGAACTCCTGGTGAATATGGAGAAGCTGCAGCAGCTTCCCTGGGAAGAAAGCAACAAGCTGGGAGACAGAAGTCCAATAGCATGTGAGCAGGCAGATTGCCTCTCCTACCTTTATTTTCTTTATATGGCCACAGGGGCCTATTGTTTATGATTAATGTTAAGGCCTGTGGTTTGTGGATGAGGCTGTAGGGGAGGAGGGAACCTCATTAGAAGGGAAGCTAGGGGCCTTGAAGCTGGGTCCTAGTGGGTGGACTTAGGCGAATGGCCCTAACTACAGAAAGAGGGGTAAAGCCAGAGGGGCTAAGGCCCCAAGAGCCTGGCACCACAGGGGGCGCAGTGTAGAAGAGCCAGTAGGCCTGGTGTCGTGGAAAGTATAAGATGGAGGGCCGTGAGCCCCAGTGGGTTAAAGAGCTAGAGCTTCAGAGTCAGGCCATGCTTAGTGGGTTTTGGCTGACGGGCCTAGCTAGAGAGAGAGTGGGTAAGCCTACAGCAGCTGAGGCCCCAACATAAGGAGAAAATTATAAAACATTTGCCAGGCATGGGGCACATGAAGGGAAGGTCAGAGCATGCATTTTGCCCTTGGGGCAACAGCTCATTATCTTCCAGGTGGTGAGCCTTAGAGCCTGTCTGGGAACCTTTGAGTCAGCCTCCCTCTTTAAGAACCAAGTGACATCGAGTCGTGGCAGACAAGCAAAGGGGGGAAGCTGGTCCCCAGAGGAGGAGGAAAATATAGCAGGACTTGAAGGATGCCCCACTCACCAGCCTTTAGAAATGCCACCAGAGATGTCACCCTGTTACACCCCCCCATCCCAATCTAACTATGCAGGGACCCCTTGAGGAGGCACCGCTCCTGCAGCAGAGTAGTTGGGACAGTAACCACCAGCAAATTCTCTGTAGGTTGGAATCTACTGAATGTTCAGCAAGTATGACTTACTTGAATAGTGAACACTTTCTCCCTCACTCTATAATATCATGTATTATACACTGAAACCACGTATGACCAAATTTGATGACGACAGATCCAAGCTACCAAGTAATTATTTTCCAGCTAAATGATATTGACTATATCTATTCACAGACTATGCATCTGATGTATAGTACAATTTTTAATTCTTATTTCAATATACTACAAAATGAGCTCTAACTTAAATAGATTAAAATACAATTTAAATTAGGGTTACCATATGTCTGAGTTTTCCTGGACATGTCCTCTTTTTGGGTTCTCCCATCTCTGTCAGGGAGTTTGTTTTTTTTTTTTTTTTAATATGAATAAATGTCCAGGATTCTGCTCTGCTCTGCTTCGAAGTTCTTCCTGACACTTCCTGGCTTGCGCCAGCAAGGAGCTACTTCAGCTGGGGGCAGCAGGGGAGGGCAGTTGGAGGCAGGGGCATCATATGTGTCTGCACACTCCCCAGCAGCTACAGGCATGAAAGTCATGTAAGCCTATGGGGGAGGTGCGTTACCAGGGCTTGGGGACTGGGGGGGGTGAGGACATGAGTGTACAGGGAGGGTGGGAGCCTACTGATGCTGCAAGAAGCTGCCTGGGCACCAGGGCTACAGCAGGGTGGGGCGGCAGGGGAGAAGCCTGCCCCTCCAGTGGGGGAAGGAGGTGAGGGAGTTATTCAGGGGCAACGGGGAGCTGCGTGGGCAGGAATCTGAGTCAGGAGTGAGGGACACCAGGAGAGCTGGGGGCGGGCTGTGGCTTCGGAGTGAGGAACACCAGGGAGTGGGGGACTGTGGCTTGGGAGTGCGGGGCACAGGCAGGGCCAGAAGGCTGTGGGTCAGGAGCAAGGGCTGTCAACAGTGATGGGGGGGCTGTGGGTTTGGAGTAAGGGGCACCAGCATAGTCTGGGGGGAAGGGTACTGTGGTTCAGGAGGGGCAGGGCTGTGGCTTGAGGGGCAGGAGTGGGGCACAGGCATATCACTTGCCTCTGCCCTGCATCACCCACTTTCATAAAACTGGAAATATGGTTATAAGGGGGGAGGGTGATTTGTAGTGAGACCAAGATGCAGGTGACTCTGATGGGACCTCAACCACCCATTGCCCAGAGGTCAAGGCAGCAATACAGATGGCCGCAAGGAAAACCATCGCTATCAGGAAGACCACAACAGGGGAAAATCCTGCCCCTGGAGAAGCCGAACAAGCAGTGGGAGACGGGGTCAAGGACTTGAATGCCCGGAGAGTGGGGCTCCGTAGGGAACTGCCAGTGAAGTGCACGTCCCCGCCGCGGGCACCCGGCAGAAAGGAGCAGAAACACATGGATCCGTCCATTCACGTGGCTTCAGCTTCTGTTGCGGGGGAGGAAGGTTAGGTGTTTGGGGCTTTTATTGTTGTTACAAGGAAAGAGGCAACTGCCTACGGCTCCGCTGCGCCCGGGCAGGGGCTACGGGAGGGATCCCCGCGCCTGCGACTCGCAGCCGGCTCGGAGCAGGCGGCCGCAGCCTAAACGTAGAACTTCGCGCGCAGCACCACGGCGCCGCCCGAGGCAGCTGCTGCCGCGTCTCTGACGCTCGAGCTGCGGCCCAGGCCCAGGGTACAGGCGCCCTCAGCGATTCGCCAAACCGAGGCTGCAAAACGCCCGCAGCCGGGCCGGAATCCCTGCCCTCGCTCAAAATGGCTGCCGCTGATTTCCTTCACCAAATGCAAAATGGCTCCTTGTCCTCTTCCAAGATGGCTACCGGCGCCGTCCGGGTCCTCCTTCCGATTGGCTTCAAACGCCCCTTGTTCAAGATGGCTTCCAGAAACATCCTCGGCTCTTTGCCCTCACTAAAGAAGGCCGAGAGCGGCGTCTTTGCCACAAGCTAGTGGAGCCAATGGCCGGCGTCGCTGCCTGGACATCACGTGAGAGCCGGGGGCTGCGCCTGTTCTTACGTCTCTTCCTACCCAGGTTAGTGGCGTAGCGGATGCACGGCAGCGAGCGGTAGGTCAGGGGTCGCGGGGTTTCCTCCACCTCCGCTTCGGTGCCGAAGCCCTTTTTGCGGGGTGGGCGCGGAGCCCGCTGGGAAGGGGCAACTTGAGATGTGAGGGTGGCGCTGCTGGGAGACTGGCAGGGCACCTCGCCCAGCTTGGCCTCTCTTCAAGGTGTTCAAAGCATGGATTGTTTGCAGCGTGCTGTCTTTTGAAACTGAAAGGACTGTTGGGTGGGAATGGCTTTAAAAGTATTAAGAACTGCCTGGCTTCCTTCCCCCCCCCCCCCCCCCCCCAATGAATTTTAAACCCTAGATGTGTTGTGACCAAATGATTCTCCACTGGTGTTCGGAGGGATTTGCTTTTTGTAAGTCAAGCAGTGGCACTTTACAGCTGAATGTCAAAGCAAGCTTTCTGTCTTAAGAACTATAACAATTTGATTTTTTTTTCTCTTCCACTATTTTGAAATTGACTCAGTTGATATATTTAATATTAACTTTTTAATTGCTTATGAAGCATCAGAGTTTGGGGCTACATTGGGTTGTATAAACAGAAAGATGCTGGCTCTGTATTGGTGATCTTAAGTCAGGGATTTTTTCAGTTGGATCTAAAGAGAATGTTGTGTTTATAAGAGCTGTTTAAATTGTATTTTAATCTATGCAGGTTAGAGCTCACTTTGTAGTGTACTAAAATGAGCATTAAAAATGCTATGCATCCGATGCATAGTCTGCAAATAAATATAGTCAGTATGACTTACCTGCAAAATAATTTGTTGGTAGCTTGGATCTGTCCTGTCATCAAAGTTGGCCAGAAGTGGTTTTAGCCTGTAATACATAATATTATAGAACGAAAGAGAAAGTGTTCACTATTAAAGTAAGTCGTACTTGCTAAATGTTTAGTAGACTTGTTGATGGAAGCCTTCAGTATTTCCTGTATGCAAAAGAATATGTGCTGTAGTCTGTGACCCCTGACTATTAAATAGTTGAAGCTAGGTAATTTTTCATGGGGGGGTGGAAATGAAAAGCTTGAGTGTTGTAGCGTGGTAGGGATTTTGTTTGTGTATTCTGTCTTTTAGTTTGTGCAACTCCCTAGTAGCTAGGTTTTTGAGTAAATATCCTTTATACATGATTCTCATGAAGGGTGGAACCACAAGACTATTTGGGATGAGAGAAAAATGTGGACGCATCATGGAGCTTGCTACTGCTTATAGCAGGAATTAGTTGCTGTAGGGTCTCAAACCTGCAATTGTCAGTCACCAGTTGTGAGCACAAGAAAGTTGGAACTTTCCCCCATGTCAATCCCTAATTGCTTGCTCTGCTTTGGTCAGCATGTAGCATTAATTAAAGTTCCAAAGTAGAAAATCAAATGTGATTTTCTAGGCAGAGATAAGTAAATATTCAGTCAGGATGCAGCAGAGATAACTGTTATAACTCCAGGAGTCTCATTATAGTTGTTAGTCTTATTACTGTACTTGATGATTAGCGTAACAGGTTTTCTGTAATGTATCCAGCTTATGATCTTATGGCTGCAACTCGTTCTGCTGTTCCTAATACTATAATCAAGGTGTAAAATCCATCTTTTCCGTGTCGTTACAGAAATCATTTGTATAATTTGCAGTAACCATGCTGGCAGCAAGGCTATTTTGTCTGCGGGCACTGCCAGGCCGAAATCTCCGTCCTGCCCTGCCTTGCCCTCCAGCTCTGAGAAATTCCAGCATAAGGCCAAGTCAGTGGCTTTGGCAGCAAAACCAGGTGAAATGGGTTTTCTTTATTGCATCAGAAATGCTTTCGTGTGAATGGTCACCATGGACCATTCAGCTCATCAAAAGTCCCTCCAGCCCAAATTATTGTCCATCCCTGACTTAGAGCCCTTGTCTCAAGCATCTCTAATTTGGCACCTTTCAAAATTCATAAGTTGATTTCCACATTACTTTTAAATGTACTCTTTTGTATGTAGATTTTCATGGGTTTTTGATGTATATTTTATACTTTGACTCTTAGTCTCATTTTGAAGTAACAGTGTCTCACTTGCATTTTATTAAAAAATGCATTTGTCATATTAAAACAAGACACTAACAAGCCTACAGTTGAAGCCTAGCCTTCAGGTAGTTATCCTTCCTTGCAGAGTTGTATAGATGTGTTTCCCAGATAAACTGAGTAGAGGTTTTTTTAGTTCCCAATACTTGTTTGTCATAGATGTAGCTTAAAGAAAATTGTGCTGGGGCTAATTCTTAACTACTCTTTTTCTTATGTTGTCTAAATTAGAGCCAAACATCTTTCAAGCATTTTTTATTTGTGCTAGCAGGCCAGTATTGGGAAACAAACCTGCTTATGGACTGAAAGGGTTACATTAACAACTCTGACAATGGCTTTCTGGGGAATGACTTTCTGTTTTCATCAGTGAAAGTCATTCACTTTTATTTCAAGAGCTCAGTTCATCTGAATGCAGATTTCTTTTAAAGCATGTCAGGCCTAAAGTCTTTAATTTTTAGACGCTTATTTCATCTTGGCCCTCCAAGGTATGGTTTAGGCATTCCTAGAGGTAATTTTGGTGACAGTCCAAGTGCTATACCTATAACTGTAGTAATCAATTAAAGTTCAGTCTCCATCTTCTTCCACTTGGCATGCTATGCAATCAAACATTAGGCAGCAAATATTGAGCCATTTTATTGCTGTAAACTTGAGGTTTTTTTCCCTTCATTGTGACCTTTTTAGTGTTATGGGAGGTAAAGAAGGTGAGGCGCTATTATTCAGTTTAATAATTATATTAATGAAAGTGCCAGCATTCAAGGCTGTTTTAAAATAACATGGATATCTTTAACTGCGATGTAGCATATTTAAGAATGTATTACAGCAGGGGTTTTTAAAATCTTTTAAAGGAGTGTACCCTTCTGGGTACACTTCTGGTGGGTGGGAGGGTGGCGGTAGCCAAATGCAAAGCGAGGAAGGGGCTTGCACAGGGTGGTGGATGGTGGCGGCAGATGCTGCGTAAGAGTTTCCACCCCCCCCCATCTGCACCCACCTACACATACCCACTAGCCCCTTTTCCAAGTACCCCCGGAGGTACACGTACCCCCAGTTGACAAACCTGCATTACGAAGATGTCCAGGTACAGGCAACCCTTGCTTAGTGCTCTTAATTGGTTCTTGAAAAACAGCGCTAAGCAAAACGGTGTTAAGTGAAACCCATTTCCCTAAAGGATTTAATATAAATAAATATATTTGTTTCTGCACAATTTGCTGGCCCAGACCCTACACAGCAGGGCTCCAGCTGGCACGTTGGAAGTAGTGGGGTCACCCGCCCACCAGTACCCTTGCCCTGCTCTGCCCAGCGGGGGCACCCGACTCTGGAACTATCTGCCGCCACCAGATTGCTGCAAGCTCAGGTCGGTTTTCATGCCCTGCAGGTGAGTGTGACTAGGACAAGACACAGCCTGCAGTTTGGGGACAGGGGCTCTACAGGCTTGGCCCCACCGTGACCTAGAGCGGGTGGCAATGTACATGCCGCCACTCCTCCCCACCTGCCTACTGGCCGCAGACTCCTGCCACCCCACCCTGGGACCTGCTGGCCCTGGGCACCAACCCAGGCTCCACGGTCATGCCGCCGCCGCCCCCCCCCCCAGCCCTGCTTTCTCACCACTGCTGCTTCTCCCCACTGGCTCCAGCACCACATGCAGGAGCAAATCCTGCTAGTCTACCCTAGGCCCCTGCTGGCTGTCACTCACCTCTGAACTTTCTGCTGCCACTCCTCCCCAGCCTCACACTGAGTGTTATAACAAAATGCTCTGAGCGCTAAGTGAAACCAGATATGTATTTTACATGAGTACTATAGTGAAACTGTGTTAAGCAGGGGTGCCTGTATACCAGAATAGTGCCCAGGAGTTCAGAGTGGATTTTCAATGTGCATCTCAAATTCCTACTAGCAACCAATGTACTTAGTAAACTAACTTTTTAGCTTCCGTAAACTAGGGGTGCCCAAGCGAAAAGCAGTCACAGTCGGAGGTAATGAAATCCGGAAGTTCTTGTTTTACCTTTTTTTGTTCTTTAGTAGCTTCTGACTTTTAATATATAAATCTAATCTTTGATCACATAATTTAATAATTTTTTTTCTATCCAAACATAAAAGGGATATGCCACCAAAACAAGAATCGGTATACGGCCTGGAAAAAGTGGGCTAGAAATCAAAAAAGCAGCCTTCGAACCGTCAATGGAAACTGCTTTTAAAGGTAAATCCAAATAAAGAGTTTGAAGATTAAATGTAAAGCTTCTTTAACTTTAACTTTGGTTTTCCTGGATTTAAAAAAAACTAAAATTTAAAATTAGACTGACTGTAGTGTGGACAGATCACTTTAAAAATAAATAAATAAAAGGATGGGTCACTTGCAGCATTTCATATCACAGAAAGCTCCAATTGGCGTGGAATAACTTCTGTTGTTAGTGCACTTTTTACAACTGTTATCTTTTAACTTAAAGTATTAATCCAAACTCCTGAACTTAGAAAAAATTAGATCATCTTCCATGGTTTCTGAAAAATGTGTCTTTACTGTTGGGGGAGGGGAAGAGAGCTCTTGCATATGTTATATGTAAGACTTGTATTTTGTGTGGCTTTGTAACATCCCTGAGAAGCCTTGACCCCTCTTTTACAAATACTTTATCTCAAATAAAGCAGTTAGAATTGAAGGACCAGAAGGGACCTGCCAGTTCATCAAATCCAGTCCCCTGCCATGGGTAGAAAGTAACTAGGCTCAAGTGAGCTCAACAAGGTGCTTGTCCAGCCTCCTCTCGAACATATCAAAAGATAGTGACTCTGCTGGGAGTGTGTTCCAGATTCTGGTGACCCTTGCAGAGAAAGTTCTTTCTTATGCCCAGCCTGAATTTACCCTCAATTAGCATATGCCCATTGGTCCTCATCCTCCCTTGATGTGCCTTCCTGAAGAGTTGTTTACCTAGAGCTTGATGCCCACTCCTGCTGTACTTGTGGGTGGCTATCAAGTCACCTCTCAGCCTTCTCTTCCTTGGGCTGAACAGGCCCAGTTCCTGGAGTCTCTCCTCATAGGGTCTGTCATCCATGACCTTAATCATACGGGTGGCCCTTCTTTGTACCCTCTCAAGCTTATCCACATCCTTCTTGAAGTGCAGTCCAAAGAACTGTACACAGTATTACAGCTGTGGCCTCACTGACATCAAATAGGGAGGGAAGAGAACCTCCCTGGATCTATTGGCAACACATTGGCTGATGCACGCCAGAGTTCTATTTGCCCTCCTGGCAACCTCATCACACTGTTGGCTCATGTTCATCTTCCAGTTGATTGTGACCCCCCAGGTCTCATTCAAATGCTGTGCCAGCCAGTGGACCACCAAACCATCATGTAGTTATGGTGAGGGTTCTTCCTACCCAGATGAAGAACTGTGCACTTCTCCCTGTTAAACCTCATCTGATTCTATTCTGCCCATAAAACCAGTTTGTCAAGGGCAACCTGGATTTTTGCCCTATCCTCTGTGCCTACATGTCCCCACAGCTTGGCATTATCCATGAGCTTAATCATTGAGCTTTCTACCCCCTCATCCAAGTCATTAATAAATATGTTAAGTTACTTGTTTAATGTTAGAGTGAGTCAGTGATAGAATTCAGGTCTCCAGTCAATTTAGCTTTCTTCTAGCTTGCATAACTTCAAGAAATGCCTCACTTCTAAATTGTGAGGTTTTTAATACTTTTTTTTTTTTTTTCATGATTAAAGAGAACTGGGCCAAATGCAGCTCAGTTACAAACAGTGGAATTTCTTCCAGTTTATAGTGCAATATCAGCTTTTGGCTAGTGATCACAATTGACTCTGACAATGAGCCTAGAGGGCTAGGGAACTTTTTAAATGGAAATGCTGCAAGTCTGTGGGAGGTGGGTGCAGAAGTATCCATCTTACCTTGTACAAATGTATGTTTGTTTTGGCGTGGATAGCTTTGTGCAAGGCAGGTGCTAAAAATGAGTGTATCACTTGGTGATCGAAGAGCCTGCTAGATTCTGAATGAAGCTGGCCAAATGCAGTGACTTACAGAATCATAGAAAGTTAGGGTTTGAAGGGAACCTCAGGAGGTCATCTAGTCCAACCTCTTGCTCAAAACAGGACCAGCCCCAACTAGATCATCCCAGCCAAAGCTTTGTCTAATTGAGGTTTGTTTTTTAAAACCCCAAGGATGGAGCTTCCATAACCTTGCTGGATAACCTGTTCCAGTGTTTTACTACATTCCTAGTGAGAGAAGTTTTTTTCCTAATATCTAACCCAAACTTCCCTTGCTGCAACTTGAGACCGTTGCTCCTTGTTCTGTCATCTGCCATCACTGAGAATATCTTAGCTCCATCCTCTTTCCAACCCTCCTTCAGGTAGTTGAAGACTGCTATTAAGTCCCTTCTTCTCTAGACCAAATAAGCCCAGTTCCCCCAGTCTTTCCTCAGAAGTCATGTCTTGCAGCCCCCCTGACCATGTCTTGCAACCCCCCTGACCATTTCTGTCACCCATGCTGGACTCTTTCCAATTTGTCCATGTCCATTTGTAGTGGGAAGCCCAAAATTGAACACACTACCCCAGATGTGGCCTCACCAGTGCTGAATAGAGAGGAATAATCTCTTCCCTTGACCTGCTGGCAACACACCAACCAATGCAGCCCAGTATGCCGTTAGCCTTTGCAACAAGGCACACTGCTGGCACATATTTAGCTTATTGTCCACCGTATGCCCCAGGTCGTCTTCTACAGAGCTGCTGCCTAGCCAGTCAGCACCTAGCATGTACTGGTGCATAGGATTGTTCCATCCTAAGTTCCGGACTTTATGCTTGTCCTTGTTAAACCTCATGAGATTCCTTTTGGCCCAATCCTCCAATTTGTCTAGGTTGCTCTAAATCCTAGCCCTGCTCTCCAGCATATTTACTACTGCCCCCATCTTGGTGTCATTTAGCAAATTTGCTGAGGGTGCACTCTGCCATCTACCAGGTTATTGATGAAGACATTGAACAGAACCAACCCCAGGACCAACCCCTGGGGCACTCCACTTGATACTGGCTGCCAACTAGACATTGAGCCATTGATTACTACTCTGTTAGCCCGATGCTCCAGCCAGTTTTCTATCCACCATACGGTCCATTCATCTAGCCCATACTTCCTTAGCTTCCCTGCAAGAATGTTGTGGGAGACCTGTATCAAAAGCCTTGCTAAAATTTAAGGTACACCACATCCACTAGTCTCCCTGTATCCACAGAGCCAGTCACCTCCTCATAGAAGGAAGTCAGGTTGGTCAGACATGACTTGCCCTTGGTGAATCTGTGCTGACTTTTCCTAATCACCCTTTTCTCCTCCAAGTGCTTACAAATGTATTCCTTTAGGATCTGCTCCATGACTTCCAGGGACTGAGGTGAGGCTGACTGGTCTGTATTTCTCTGGATCCTCCTTTTTCTTAAATATGGGCACTGTTTGCCCTCTTCCAATCATCCAAGACCTCTCCTGATCACCGTGAGTTTTCAGAGGTGATGGGCACTGGCTCTGCATTCACATCAGCCAACTCCCTCAGCACCCTCAGGTGCATCCCATCTGACTCCAAGGACTTGTACACATCTAACTTTTTCCAAGTAGTCCTTAACCTGTTCTTTCACAACTGAGGGCTGCACACCTCCTCCAAACCGTGCTGTCCATTGCAGTAGTCTGGGAGCTGCCCTTGCCTATGCAGACAGGCAAAAAAGGCAATGAACACTTCACCCTCCTTTGCATCCTCTGTCACAAGGTTGCCTCCCCCATTCAGTAAGGGACTTGCACTTTCTCTGATTTTTTTTTTCTTGCTAACGACTTACTTTTAGAAACTCTTCTTTACCCTTCATGTCCCTTGCTAGCTGCAACTCCAATTGCACTTTGGCCTTTCTAACTTCATCCCTGCATGCCTGAGCAGTGCTCTTATATTCTTTCCTAGTTATTTCTTTAAGTTTCCACTTCTTATAAGCTGCCTTTTTGTGATTTTTAGTTTACTGAAGAGTTCCCTGCTAAGCCAAACTGGTCTTCTGCCATATTTGCTAGTCTTCCTGCACATTGGGATGGTTTGTTTCTGCACACTTGGTAAGGCTTCTTTAAAGTACAGCCAGCTCTCCTGTTCTCCCCTCCCCCTCAGACTGGCTTCCCAGGGGATCCTGCCCTTGAGTTCCCAGAGTGAGTTGAAGTCTGCTCATCTGAAGTCCAGAGTCCTTACTCTGCTGCTCTGTATCCTTCCTTTCCTCAGGATCCTGAACTTGGTCATCTCATGGTTGCTGCTGCCTAAGTTGCCACTACTACATTCCCCTCCAATTCTTCCCTGTTTGTGAGCAGCAGGTCAAGAAGAGCCGGACCTCTAGTTGGCCACTCTAGCACTTGCACCAGGAAGTTGTCCCCAATATTCTCCAGAAACATCCTGGATTGCCTGCACACTTGTATATTGTCCTCCCAGCAGATGTCAGAGTGATTTGAAGTCCCCTATGAGAAGCAGAGCCTGTGATCAGGGAAACTTCCACTAGCTGTTTGAAAAAAGCTTCATCTACCGCATCCTCCTGGTCTGACATCACCCTTGTTGTTCTTCCCTCTAACCCTTACCCAGAGACTTTCCACAGGCCTATCTCCAGTTTCATACTGGAGCTCTGAGCAATCGTGGTTCTCCTACCTCCTTCTCCCCTGCCTGTCCTTCCTGAACAGTTTGTACCCATCCATGACAATGATCCAGTCATATGAGCTATCCCACCAAGTCTCCAATCATGTCATAGTGCTATGACTGTGCAAGGACTTCCAATTCTTCCTGCTTGTTTCCCGGGCTCTGTGCATTCATGTACAGGCACCTGAGGCAACTTGCTGATTGCCCTGATTATTTCAGGAAGTATGAGAGCGCCTCTCCTGTTGCCCCCTCTTGCTTGCTTTTCTTCCAGGTTTTCCGCTTCCCCCTCTTAACCGCAGGGCTTTGGTCTCCATCCCTTGGCATACCTAGCTTAAAGCCATGCTCCCTAGGTCAGTGAGCCTGTCTGCAAAGACGCTCTT